GTATGTGTGTGTGTGGTGTGGGATGCTAGTGTATGAGCCTCCATCTGGGCAAAAAAACAAGACTCTGTCTCAAAAAAAAAAAAAAAAAAATCAGAGCAAATCTGCATAGCCTGCCTTCCTCTCCCCGTGAACATTCTCGAAGCTCTGTACGTCAGCTGAAACACCCCCGTTCCCTACACTGGACAACCACAACAACCTCTGAATGAAGGAGAGATGAACGCGCAGACATGCCAGGTCAGAAAAAGGGGTAAGGCCAAGAAATCAGAACAAATGTCACCCTGTGAGCCAGAGACACGATACCTCAGGAAGCAGAAGTGTACTTTAAGATGTGTTCTCCTTATACTCCAAGAAGGCATAAACATATCAGCAAAAGCAGGCAGCGATCAGCAATAGGGAAAGATTTCTTGGAGAAAGTCATTGCTAAGGTTTAAAACACCAGGGAGGCAGGAATGGTAGACTGCATATGGCAGAAAAGCAAACAGGAGGAGGAAAGCTACTGTACCCTCTGTTTGTTTCTTGAACTAAAATACAAGCTCCTCAACTACATCTCAAGTCTGGTGGGGACAATGAGTGATTCTCATGATTGCTCTGCAATTGTGACAGTTTTCACCTACTAAGCGGCTCACTAGAATGTTCTAAACCAGTGACTATACCCTGGTGGCTGGTGGGCCTGTGGAGGAGTTTTACTTGGCTAAAACAGTAAATTTTTTAACAGCTTACTGAGATATAGTTCATCCACCATACAATTCACCTATTTATACAATTCAATGATTTTTAGTATATTCACAGAGTTGTGTAACCATCACCACACACTCAGTTTTAGAACATTTTCATCATCCCCAAAAGAAACCGTGTATCCATTCCAGTCACTCCCCCTACTCTGCTCATTCCACCCGCCCACCCCTCCACCCAACTCTCTGGCAACCACGAATCTACTTTTCGTGTCTATAGATTTGCCTAGTCTGGACATTTCATATAAATGGAAGCACACCCTATGTGCCTTTTGTGACTGGTTTCTTCCACTTAGCAAGATGTGTTCTGGTTCATCCATGTTGTAGCATGTGCCAGTATTTCATTCTTTTCAAGGCCAAATAATATTCCACGGCACAGGCATATTTTATTTATCCATTCATTAGTCAATGGACATTCGGGTTGTATCCACAGTTCGGCTTTCATGAATAATGCTGCTACAAGCATTTGTGTACAAGTTTCTGTGTGGACGTATGTCTTCATTTCTCTTGGGAATATACCTAGGGGTAGGACTGCTGGGTCATGTGGTAACTCTATGTTTAATATTTTGAGGAAGTGCCAAACTCCAGAACAGTATTTTTTTAATCTGAATCTGAATGTTTTTAAACACAGAGCAACTCTCTCCGACCACCACAGACCCTAGATCCAGACACATAACACAGGTTCCTCAGGGTTTACTATCAGCCCACTTTAAGCCTATAAGTCTGCCAGTCAATCACACACAACAAAAAAATGTTTTCAGGACAGAAATAAACTTTTCTAGAGAAAGTAGTGCTCAAAATTACAAAATTCTATCATAACAAAGCTAGCCATAAGTCCCCAGGATTTCACAACAACAAACTGAACTAAACCCGCTGAGCATGAATTCTATTTCCTCAGCTGTCTCAGTGCAAGAGATCAATTTAGGCTTGCAAAATGAAAACCTACACATTTAGACAAAGTTTTCTTTTACAGTAAGATTTAAATTGACATTCAAAAAGAGAATTCTTACCTCTTGTTCCTCAAAAATGGGCTGATATTTCTCAAGTGATAATTTCTTAAGGATTCCGGTCAGTTCATCTTCAAGAGGGAAAGGTGAAAAAAAAAAATTTTAGAATTTGGTAAAATGTTATCAAAAAAGTGGTCTCCAAACTTCTATAAAGTAGTGGTAATCTTATTTCAAATGAAATTCTATAAGAAACACCAACACAGAAAGCTGATCTCAGCTGGGCTCCTGCAGATGAGGCTGGAGGTGGGTCCTGAGCCACCTGCACCCTCTTCCCCTCAAGGTAGGTCCTCAGCAATTGACAAAACCCCACGTCAGGCTGCAAAGACACAGAGAGCCTGGGCCAGGACTGACTGATTCCCTCCAGAATGCGACCCTCAAATTCTGGGAGTTGCAGCTGCCAGAACTAAAACTCTGCCTTCTGCGCGAGAAGGCACCGTAAATGCCAATGCCTGCAGTAAATGCCAATGCCAGCAAGTCCTCAGCTAGTGTGAGGAAGAACTTAAGAAAGAAGGTGGTGGGCTTCAGAGCAGAGCCAGGGTTTGGCTCAAGTGTGCAGAGGCTGTGGCCTTCCTGAAGGAAAAAGGCATCTATGTGGAACAGCAGAGCCAGAAGGGCGAAAGAGGATGATTTGGGTGTCAGAACAGGGAGAATAAAGAAAAGGAGACAAAACCAGCACCTGAGGGCTTGGAGAAATAATTCACTCACACATTCAAACGTGATTTGCCAAACTAGGCACTGGGGACTCAACAGATACCAAAACAGACAATAAGAAGGCTGATAGGGGCCGGGCAGGTGGTGCGTGCCTGTAATCCCAGGGCTTTGGGAGGCCGAGGGTGAAGGATCACTTGAGCCCAGAAGTTCAAAACCAGGCCTGGCACTACAATGAGATTTCATCTCTACAAAAAATTTAAAAGTAATTAGCTGGGTGGTGTGATGTGTGTGCCTGTAGTCCCAGTGACTCAGGAGGCTGAAGCAGGAGGATCACTTGTGCCCAGGAGTTTGAGGCCACAGTGAGCTGCAATTATGCCACTATGCCATTGCACTCTAGCCTGGGCTACGAAGCAAGACCCTGTCTCAAACAAACAAACAAAGGCTGATAGGCAAGACAGCAAGAAAGAAGAGAGCAGCATTAATGTAGATGACAGCATTTCCAGTTTTACAAACGCTGTTTTACAGAGGATGGTCACGGAAAGACTCTCTTATAAGGTGACCTATGAGCAGTAAATGAAGGAGTGAGTTATGCAGATATCTGGAGTAAAAGCATTAGGCAGCATCCAGACAGGGAAGAGCAGGTGCAAAGGTCCTGAGGCAGTGGATGCAGCTTAAATAAGTGATCAGGAGGCTTGGGTTCCTTCTTTTCTCAACTCACCCTCCCTCCCTCCCTCCCCTCCTCCCCTACTTCCCTTCCTTCCTTCCAGCACTGACTACCACTGTGCCCAATGGACACTGGGTAGCAAGGATGGAGAGGTCCCTGTTGTGATGCTCAGTGTGGCTGGGAGGATAGGATGAGGAGGGTGAAAGCTAATACACAGTGCTATCAGTCAGCCTGTACATGGATGAATCACTTGCTCTTTACAACACCAATGAGGTAGATCCTATTACTGTCCCCATTCACAGATGAGGAACTGAGGCACAGAAAGGCTCAATACCACATCTTGGGTGAGGTCATCTTGCTAGACTGTGGCAGAGCAGGGAATCAAGCCCAGTGATCTAGTGGTCTAGCTACTAGGCCTGTGCTAGGCACCTGCTCTCCACTTTTCTCATGGGTGGTGCATGCTACGGTGAAGAGCAAGAATAGGGCGAGGTGGGGACAGAGAGGACAGCTGACCCAGCCCAAGGGACTAGGGAAAGCTTCACAGTAGAAAGGCTACTGAGCGGGGACGTATGAGACAAATCAAATCCCAATCCACACATAATCTGTTGTATTTCATGACACCAAACCCTTGCTCTTGCCGTTCCCTACACATGCAGCCTTGGTCCACAGTGGTGTGCTGGTAAATGCTTAACAACTGGTTCTCGGGGGGAAGATGTATGCATGTATACAGGCACATAAATCTACCGTTGATTTTACTAATATAAATGATTTATGGCACACGATTTACAAATAATAAAACATATAATATTCTTTCTTATAAATTCCATATAGCCAATTGATTCTCACCAAATGCTTTCATTTGTTTTTGCCCTACTTTTGTACCCACAGCCAAGGAATATGGTTCCAACATGAACGCTGGCTGAGAGTTTTGTTTACATAAACAAGAAAGATAAAAAGAAACAACAAAGACTTAACATTGGAACTTCAGGTGAGCAACTTGGCTGAATCAGATAACGATTTTCAAATACTGGAAGAATATTTTCTCAATTTTTTGTGCGATTCACAAGATGACAGTTACAGACACAACATACTTTTAAGTTTAACCCTCACTGTTAACATTATTCCATCACTGCCTAGATTACAAGTGGACAATATCTATAAGACAACAAACCAAGCCCTGGATTGCTTGCGACCAGGGAGGTTGAGGCTGCAGTCAGCTGTGATCGTGCCACTGTACCCCAGCCTGGGTGACAGAGTAAGACCCTGTCGCAAAAAAAAAAAGCAAGCCCTGATTGACGGCATTTGCCAATTTCCATGATGTGAATACCCCCATCATAGCCAATTTCAACCTACCAATCTAATATCCCTGAGAGTGAAGCTGAGCAGAGATGCGCAGTAGGAACACATCATTATGGGGTATTCACATTGCAGATATGAGATATACACAACCTCAAGAGCACAGATAATAAAATATACAAAAATGAGTAAAAAATACATTTTAAGTACAATATACTGTTATATTTCTATAACTTAGTTAATTCTAAGTTCATGTGATTTGTAAATAATGGTTGTGTTTAACAACTAGCTTGGGCATTTCCTACAAACTGAACAGTCAGCTCTGGCACCCCACTGCCTGTCTCTTCCCAGCGTCGTGGTCCAGCTGGAGTGCCCGTTTGCCAGGGGAGCCTTCCACGGCACATGGTGCTGATAGCAGGTATGACCTCACCTTGTGTTATACTCTAATGTCATTATGTTGAATGTGTCTGTCTCCCTGTGAGTTCCCCTGGGTGCACAGGTTAGGGCACCCAGGGGACTGCCCAATAAAACCTCCTGGAACTAATGTGAGGCTGAGAAGGTAATGCTGTCACAAGCCTTGCTGCTTCTAACAGGTGGAGTCCAGAGAGGAGGAATGCAGATGGAGAGATGAGGCGGGGCAAAGCTCACATGTGTCCTCGACTGGGACCACATATTTCCCAGAATATCATAAAAACAGAGGAAGGATTGCAGCCCCTGGCCTATAACAATCATATACCACAGGACAAACAGACCTCAAGACCTAGGAACTCTCAATGGGAAAACTAAGCTTTCTGAACCAGAGAAATTATTCTACAAGTAAAGTGCTATTGGCCCTCTTCTTTCTTCATCCCAATTAGGACTTTGCAAACCATTTTTAATAATGAACAAGAGGGAAAGAGAGTGGGTATGGGCAGTCCATGCAGACATCCACTGTCTCCACTGTTTTTGGAAAACAATGGGGCATAAATACCTAACTGAATCTCCAGGGGCTTCAATTCCCGAAAACCTCAGAGGTGGGAGAATTCATGAGTGTGGAACTCAAGACTCCACATAGAAAATACAGTTGGGGAGGAATGAGTTTGCTGGTGAACCTCTGAGGCCTTGATAAATGATCACACTGGATATCAAAAAACAATAAAAGTAGCCCCCAAATAAGTAGGATACCAGTGGCAGCACGCATTTATCAACTTACTACAGACTAGAGCCTGTGCAGGTGATTCCAACTTATCTTGCTCAGCAGAACCTGCTCAGCACCCTCCTCCTCAGCAGCTGCAGCGAGCTGCCCACAAATGCATTTGTGAGGGCCACATACACAATCAGATTTTCCTCCCTGCTGATTTATATTTCTCGATTTGCACCTGCCTGGGCCCCAGGTGTCACCAAAGCTCCCTTCCTCTTTCCCCTCTCCCAGCTCCTACGGGCCACTAGACGGCAGTTTAAAAGGATGAGATTCCTTTCTTCATCTGCCTTTATCTTTCCTGGGGCCTGACTGCAAAGCCCCTGCTCCTGCCCTACCACCCACTCCATCTTCCCTCATCATTCCTGCATGGGGGCTGCAGAGGCTGTAATTCACAAGGCAGGTTCCGAGGCTCTCCTGGCTGCAGCAGACATCAACTGCTTTTGCTTGCCCTCACCCATCCCCCTCCTCCTGGAAACAGTATTTCCAAATTTTCCTTTGAGGAACTCTTTCTCTCCCACTTCCAATACACAAATGTCAGCAGGCTGGACCCCAACTCCGCTCCAAAGCAGACAACTGACCCAAGGGGCATGGCCAATCAACACGTTCCACCCCTGTGGACACAGAGATAGTCAAGGATGGGCAACTGACCCAGGTCATTATAAATACAGCCAAGCCAATGGCCTTACTTGGGATTTTGCTGGACCTACTGAGAAAGTAGCACTCTTTCTGCTGGGGTTGAAAAATTAGTACGAAGACAAAACTATGCCTGAAGCTGCTTGCCACCACTTGGAGAGAGCCTACGTGAGACCTGGAAACATTCCCAAAGCACCTGGATTCACGCATGGCTGAAGCACACCCTAGACACTCCCATCATATGAGCCAATGAAATATCAGGTTTCATTTTTTTTCCTTGAACCAGTGTGAATGGAGTTTCTCTCACTTGCAACTGAAAGAATCCTGACTGGTACAGGGTCCAGGGAAAGTAAGTTCGTGTTGGAGAAGCATTTCCACGGGTGTATGTTTGTGCATATAAACAAAACTCACCTATACTCAAAAACTCTGAGGGAGCATACCATATCTTTGCACAGCGAAGACAAAAATACAAGGCAGAATCAGAGAAAAGGAGGGACATGTTTGTTGTAAATTTTCTTAAAACCTGACCTAGGATGGTTATAACAATTAAGGTCACCTTGCAGTTCTTTGCTGCCAGGTCATCATGGTGAGAGGACTAGGTGGGGTTTCAAGCCCTCAGGGGACTCACCTTCATCTGTGATGGTGCCACTGCTGGAGCCCCCACTGCTCTTGGACTGCCGATGGGATGAGGAGGAAGACACTGAGGACTCTGCAGTGTGCCCTTTGGGTGAGGGGGAAGGCGTGAGGGTTGGAGAGGTGCTCTTGGAGGTAGTGGAAGTTCCAGATGGAGGCCTTTTGCTGGTCTCCAATTTCTGCTGAACAGAGTAAGACAAATACATAAGCCATCGCCTGTAGGGTAGAAATGATGAAAACAGACACCCACAACAGGGAACATGGGCGGTATCTGACTCAACACAATGTTTAACCGGGGCTATGAAATCTACTTTTAAAAACATGCAAAGCAGAAACAGCATTATCAGAACAATTAAGAGGAAAATCCAACCCTGGAGCAGAGACAGGATGAGATCAAATAGCTGCACGTTATGAGTCAGGAAACCCCGTCCCAGTCCTGCCCTTCAGCTACTTGCATTGTGTCTTTGGCCAAGTCCTCCGAGCTCTCTGGGCCTCAGTTAACCAGTTGTAAAATCAAAGTGTGGCTTATGGAGGCACAAAGTCTCTTCCTGTTCTTGATGCTCCTTCATCTACAACAGTCACTTCCAAGCTTTTCACCAAAGAACACGTATTCTTCCCTTTTTCTCATTGGTTAGCTTTACAACAAAGGCTTTTTACATTAAAATAATTCTAGACATATAGAAGAGCTGCACAGATAGAATAGAGTTCCCATATACCCCTCACACAGCTTCCTGATATTAACATCTACATCATCACAGTATAATGATCAAAACTAAGCAGCTGACATTGACACAACACTATTAACTAAACTACAGACTTCACTGTGTTTCACTGGCTGTTCTTCTCATGTCCTTATGCTGGTCTGAGATCCGATCCAGGACCCCACGCTGCATGGAGCTGTGCTGTATCTCCGTAGGCTCCTCTGACCTGTGACAGCACTGTCTTTCCTTGTCTTTCATGACCCTGACATTTTTGAAGTCTTGGTCAGGTATTTTGAAGAATGCACATCATTTTGGGATTGTCTTATGTTTTCCCATAATTAGATGTGCTTGTGAATGTAGGGGGCAATGACCACAGAGGTGATACGCCCATTCAGTGCATCATTATGCAGAGAGGACACAGTATCTGATTACTGGCGATGGTAACCTTCATCACTTACATAAGGGGATGTCTGCCAGATTTCTCCATTATAAAGTCACTATTTTTCTTTTTAATATTATTTGGGCCGGGCGCGGTGGCTCACACCTGTAATCCCAGCACTTTGGGAGGCCGAGGCAGGCAGATCAACAACATCAGGAGTTCAAGACCAGCCTAGCCAATATGGTGAAACTCCATCCCTATTAAAAAATACAAAAATTAGACAGGCGTAGTGGTGGGCGCCTGTAGTCCCAGCTACTTGGGAGGCTGAGGCAAGAGAATCACTTGAACCTGGGAGGCAGAGGTTGCAGTGAGCTGAGATCGTACCACTGCACTCCAGCCTGGGTGACAAAGTGAGACTCTGTCTCAAAAAATAAATAAATAAATAAAAATAAAAAATAAAATATTATTTGGGAAAAGATTTTTTGGGTAACTATTTATTAAGGTTCTGTCCATTAATTTTGCATTCATTGGCGAGTCTCACTGAGGCAAGTGTTACAGTGGTGTTCCCACGGTGATTTTCTATTGCCCTCGTTCCTTCCACATTTATTATCTGTAATACTTCTATAAGGAAGAGTTGTTCTTTCTCTCCCATTTATTTGCTCAATCATTTATTCCTATCAGTATGGGCTCATGGGTATTTTTTATGCTCTGGGCCATAATCCAATATTACTGTTATTTTGTAGCTCATTATTACAGCTTTGGCCATTGGGAGATCTTTTGGGTTGGCTTCTGTATCCTTCTGACGTGCCATCTTTCTTTCTTTTTAAAAGTATTTCCCTACTTTCTGACACCACAAAATACTTTAAGCTCATCTTATATTTCTGTTGACCCAGTACTAGAATAAACCACTTCTCCAAAGCTTTCCAAGGTCCCTTTTATTAAAGAATGGTATTTAGAAAAACAAAATCTGGGCACTAGGTTGCTCACTGCTCACTGGTACTGGGACATCACCGCTTCTAGGTCCTCAAAGTGGACAAAGACACATATACACTAACCCTTGTATACACACATAGCCACATCTACTTTTATATCTACTAACTTTGTGTGTGTGCAACTCTCTGTGTATTTAAAAGCATGCACTCATACTGATTCATACCGATATCTCTGACTTCAATCCAACATCCATAGGTTTTGTTCTAGCATTCCTCCTTTGATTCTGTCTCTGACAGTAAAAACTTTGCTACTTACTTATTCAATCCTGGTATACATGTTAAGTGTACATGTATGCAAAAAAAATTTTTAGCCCATATCCTGGTAAGGATAGCAGAACTGTTAGCCCATATGCTGGTAAGAAAAAAATATCAACTAGAGTACAGTACTTGTATACAGTACTTTTTGTCTTTAGCCTAATATCCACTCAACACATGATTTTCTCCTCCACCTCCTACAATGTGGTTAGGTCATTCATTTGTAACACACTTAGACCTTTTGTCATAGTTTGCATTATGTCTTTGGTTCCTGGTTGATTTTTTTTTTTTTTTTTTTAATTTGCATACAGTAAAAAAAAATAGCTCTGCTGCATACAATTCCATGGGATCTGACAAACACGGTGTTATGCATCCACCAAGAGAGTATGATACAGAAGAGCTCCATCATCCTCTGAATGTCCTTAAGCGGTCCTTTTCTAGCTAATCCCTCCTCCTAACCCCAAGCCATAAAAACAAACACTCTATGTTCCATCCTGTGACTAGAGAGGAAAAAAATAAACTATTTTTCCTCTATTCTTATCCCACAACAATCAACACAGAATGTGTCTGTGACCAAACATACGGAGCTTTCTTCCCCTACACACCAACCAAGCAATCAGTTCTGCAGTGGACACCAGCTGAGTATCCTCCAATTCAAGTCTGACACGATCTATCTGAATACAGCATCAAATCCCATAGGTTGAGGGCTCAGTCTCAGGAGACTGCCCCCACTTCAGATGCCAACTGCAAGCCCCAGATTGCTTTACCTGTGCTTTTGACTGGCTATAAATCAGAGTTCCCACAATTCCCTCTTTGGGTTTGAATAATTGGTTAGTGGCTCACAGAACTCAGGGCAACACTTACTTACATTTACAGGTTTATATGGAATATTATTCAGCCATGAAAAGGATGAAATCCTGTCATTCAAAGTGCTTTTGACTGGCTATAAATCAGAGTTCCCACAACTCCCTCCTTGGGTTTGACTAATTGGCTAGTGGCTCACAGAAATCTGGGAAACACTTACATTTACTGGTTTATATGGAATATTATTCAGCCATAAAAAGGATGAAATCCTGTCATTCAAAGCAACATGGATGGAACTGGAGGACATTATGTTAAGTGAAATAAGCCAAGAATGGAAAGTGAAAACACCACATACTCTAACTCATATGTGGAAGCTTAAAAAGATGATCAATGAAAGTAAAAAGTAGAACAGAGGATACTAGAAGGTGGGAAGGGAGGGACAGGAAGAGATTTGTTAAAAGAATACAAAATTATAGCTAGATAGGAGGAATAAGTTCTAGTGCTCTATACCACTGTAAGATGACTACCGTTAACAATAACATACAGTTTCAAAAAGCTAGAAAGAGGATATTGAATGTTCCCAACACAAATAAATAATAAGTGTCTGAGATGATGGATATATAATTACCCAGATCTGATCACTATATATTATATGTATCTAAATATCACTATGTACCCTGTAAATATGTACAATTATTATGTGTCAATGAAAAAAATAAAAATTTAAAGATATTTCCAGGATATAAATAAATAAACCTATAGGGCAAGGCATGGAGGAAGGCACAAGGAGCTCCCACGCTCTTCCTGGGCATACTACCCTCCAGGAGTCTCCAGGTGTTCAGCTGCTTGGCTCTCTGAACCCAGTCCTTTTCAGGTTTTCACGAGAGCCTCATTACAGAGGCACAACTAATTAAATCATTGGCCACTGATTATCAACTAAACCTTCAAACCCTCTCCCTCTCCCCAGAGGTTGTGGGGTAGAGTGAAAGGCTCAACGCTCTAATCCTGCCTTGGTCTTTCCTGTGACTGGTTGCCATCCTGAAGCTACTTAGGGGCTGCCAGCCATCAGTAAATTCATTAGCACACAAAATGACATCACTTTGGAGATTCTAAGGATTCAGGAATTGTATGACAGGAAACTGGATGAAGACCAAATACACATTTCACAGTTATCACACATCCCTACAGTGTTGCTGTTTCCAGAATGTCATATAAATGGAATCACACAATTTGTAGACTTTTGGGTCTGTCTTCTTTCACTCAGCATAATGCCTTTAGGATTCACTCAAGGAATCGCATGTATCAACAGTGTGTCCCTTTGTGATGCTGTGCTGTGTTCTATTGAATGAATGTACTACAATTAGTTTATCTATCCACCTGTTGAAGAACATTTGGGACGTTTCCAGTTTGGGGTGATTACTTTGTAAAACGAATACAAAGATTCACAGATTTTTGCATGAGGAGAAATTTTTAAAAAATCTACCTAGTAGTCAGCAGTTAGCTGGGTCACATCACAAGTGAATGTTTAGTTTTATAAGAAACTGCCTATCTTTTTCAAGATGGCTGTACCATTTTGCATTCCTATTAGCAATTAATGGGAGTTCCAGTAGTTCCACATTTGTCATCAGCAACTGTACCTTTTTAAATCTTAGCCAGTCTAATAGGTATATAGTTCTACCTTAATTATGGTTTTAATTTGCATTATCCTAGTAACTAATGATGGTTAAACATCTTTTCATATGCTTATTTTCCATCTTTATATTTTCTTTGATGAAGTATATGTCCAAGTATTTTGCCCATTTTTACATTTATGTTTTATTGTTGAATTGCGGGTTCTTTATTTAGTCTGGAAAAAAAGACTTGTTTGTTTTTTATACAGATAGGGCCTCACTCTGTGGCCCAGGCTGGAATGCAGTGGCAACATCATAGCTCACTGCAGCCTTGAACTCTTGGGCTTAAGCAATATTCCCACCTCCACCTCCCGAGTAGTTGGGACCACAGGCATGAGCCACTGCACCTGGTTCCTGGATAAAAAACTTTTTCCAGAT